ACATGGACTCTTGGGTGGACACCCAAACCAAAGCATTGAGGTTATTTTTTATCTACTGTATGTTGCACACATCCATTGTAAGGATGTTTATAATGTTCTGCTTCTTCAGGACTCTGCCTTCAGGTCATTATATTGGTAGCCCCCATTGGTAATGGTGGGAGAATTTACACCAAGAAAATTAGCAAACACTACAAGCTAGATTTGCTTTATTTTGGACAGAGCTGGTTGTTAAAGGTTTGCCAATACACCACCCCCTCCCTCCTTCCTTTCTCGGACCCTCAACTCCAGAGAAAGAATGACTAAAAACCGAGGCAGTCTCTTTATTCTGTACCTTAGTGGATAGGTCAAGAGAAACAATAAAGATGGTTAAAAGTCAAGTCAGTTTTATTTGTTTTGTAACAGTCTAACATGTGGTTATTAGCTCTGACACAAGAATGAGGAGGGTTGGAGAATACAGGACCATGATCCTAATAATGCTTCTATTTTGCCAGAGATTTTTTCATGATGTTGTTATGAATGTGTTTTTTAGCTCAATCTTTAGTCTTCTATTTCACAGATGGAAAAATGTGCAGAAAAAACAATGGGGCCATCTACTTTTCTTTCCAGGCAGCTGGAGAATTCTTTGTGTGCCCTGGAGAACATCCAGAAGGCCTCAAGGCTGAAGACTACAGTAGGTCCCACTGTTACCTGGTGGCTGCTACCAGAGCTGAATACCACCACCTCCCTAGCTTTGGGAGCTGCAGCATCTAAGGCAGTGGAGAGCAAATTGTCTTTCACAAGTTTTCTTTCTTCTTACCTAGCTGCTAATCCTAGGATTTCAATTTCCTTTTTTTCTCTTCCCTTCCCCTAGTTAATACCTAGTTACAATAACATAATCGTAAGCTGAGCAATTCTCCCTGTCTATCTCACTATGATTTCTAGGCACACACCACATTTTACAGATTGTATTTACACTCAGAGGAGTTTTCCATCCAACCTTTTCCCTACCTTTTTCATCTAGACTTTGTTAACTTGGGTTGTGCAATCATTTGCACATGACATGCATAGAAGGGTAATCTAAGGGGAAGAAAAGCAGGGGAGTTTGGGGGAGTAGAATGGGAGATGCTGTTGGGGTCCCTGGGCTCATTTTTACCAAAGCATGCCTAATGCCCCTCGTCAGGAATTGGGAGAAGCAGTGGTCAGTCTTGCCCTTAGCCTTCCACATGGCTTGGGCTGAAGAGTTCCTACATAAAACTCTTTCAGTATCCATGAATTCTCTCTGCCCTGAGTCAGAAACTGTCTCCATATGTGGATTCAGGTAAGCTGAGTACCTTCACCACTTTCAGTGATTAATTCTTGCATGATTAACAATGTTCTTTGTAGTATAATTCTTAGGAATTTGGGACTTACACTCCCCATTTACTTCCCTCATTTTACTTATTATCTCATTTTTTTATCAGTAGCTTGTTAACAACTTGTACATTGTTTGAAAGTCATGACTGTCATTGCTTCAGTGTGCATTTTACAAGATGAACTTACAATTTGAATAATGCCTTCTTTCTTGTCCTTTTATTTCCAAATTTGTGAGTTGTTTTTTAGAAGACCTATGAAGGAGGGGTATACTTATTATTCCCAATGAACCTAGAGAAAAGTATTATACAGAGCAGTGAAGTGGCATCTTGACATCCCCAGAATTAGTAAGGGGCAGCTGCCAATCTTGGCTCAAATGTCAGTGTTCTTTGTGGGTCTCCAAGTCACACTGACATTCAAGAATATTTGTCCAATGCTGTGTGAAAGGCCAAAGTCATGGAGAAAAGCAGAGAGCCTTTTTACAATGCCCCAAATGCTAGGCTAGGGATTACATAGCCAAACTTGAAACTTTCTAACTGAACTTTGAGTAACCCTAGCCTAGCTGGTCACAGATCTTCCGACAGAGGTGTTATAATTGCTATTGAGTGATTAGCCCTCTTTCTCTTGAAGGAGCTACACTTCTAATGTCCTATTAACCATTGTACCTTTTTATTGGTAGGATAATGTTCTCTAGCATTTATCGAACAAGGGACTGACTAGCTGCACCTAATGGACCCCAGGGGAATATTAATCCTGAATCAGTCGTAATTATTTGCCTCAAAAGAAAGGCTGAGACATGAAGCTGCCTCTGAATGGAACCTGGCAGAAGTCGTGTGGCAGCTTAAGATGAGGTACCTTATTCCAGAGGATGAAAGTAATGGCCAATTTGTCCTTGATCATTTCTTAAGATGAAGTCTCAGGTTCCTACTAATCATATGGAGTCAAGATTTTGTTGAATTGTCTCTGAGAAAACTGATCTACAGAATGTCTACTAGCATTGAAAAAATTCTCTGCCAAGCATGTTAGGAGGGGCAAGTGGAAACCACCCACCTGTCCTTCCAGTCTTATTGCTGTTGGAGGAATCTCTCAGGCAGTGGCACCACTTGGCAGGCTCCAGCTGTGGCAGCCAACTCGTGAGTCCTTATCATACCCCTGGAGGAGGTAGGTGGTAAATGCCATCTCTACTTTATAGACAGAAAACTGAGGTATGGGAAGTTAAGGGATAATAATAATAACACAGCTACTAAATGGCAGAAGTAGAAAGAAAATTGTGTCTATTTCTTCCAAAACAGGCGTTCTTTGTTTTTTGGGAAGAATTAGAGAGAAAATGGCAACTTATGCAGGACAGAGCAGGTACAGACAGGGATTGCAACAGGATGCTGCTTCATCTGGGAAAAGATGCTGATCACATAGTTATTTCCCAGCAGAGACAAGGAGCCCAGCAGCCCTCACCTACAGCTCTACAACTGGCTCCAAACAAAGCACCTACAGTTTCACTTAGAACAGGATGTAGTTTTTCCTTTTGTATTGGGTACCAGTTGAGACAGATACTTTTCTGGAACTGATTGAGAAGGTTCTTCCTAAAATGGAAGCAAAACTGTAGGCATCATAGTGTAGGCTTTGGGGTCAAGGATGCAATGTCTGGTTCTCAGTCTTGGGATTTTGTTAATTCTCTCACCATACAGGACAAGGTCTGTGTTGGAATACTGTTACCTGATAGAAGTAAGATTCAAGCAGAAGCCAGAAAGTTACATATGTATAAGATTAATACATCTCTTCAATTCAACTGTCCATTGCTTGAGACACTCCTCCATTAAAGTTTGTCACTTTGGGTTTCTTAAGTTAATGTATCTTTTAGGCTCTCTCTCTTAAATGCAACTTTCCCAGAGGCAATTATCAAACAACCATGCCTTAGAATAAATTTAATTTTTATACCACTTTGCTTTAGAATGAGGCACCAAGGAATGGGAATATTGATTGTAATGGTGAGAAATAGTCTGGAAAAGGCTTGCTTTGGAGAGGAGTATCTAGAATGAATATGTTAAAGAGAAGGTAGAAACCAGAGGGCAGTGAAAGGGACTGCTATACTTTGGGATGGTACTGGTAGGGAAGAAGATGGAACAAAGCACCCTTTCCTGTACTCCCTATCCAGATCTCTGCCACATCAACTTGGTTTCCATACCTACTACCCTGTTCTTGGCACTGCAGTCCATAGACATAGCTTTGGTTTAGATGAACCATCTTAGTTGTCACTTTCTCTCTCTGTGTATAATTGTCTCTGAGTATAATTGCTTGTAAAACATGTACTTGTATGTGAGGTTTTCCCCTGAATGGCTCTATGTTTGAGGTGGGTTGGTTTAGGGAGTAAAGGGCAGAAAACCATGAAATTCTTTTATTTCCTTTAGCCGCTATGTCCCTTTCAGGGATAAAACTTGGCCTGGTCTGGACCCTGACTAAGCATCTACTTATAGATATAGGTTCTCATCTTGTGCCTGAGCAAGGCCTGGAAGCTGACTGTCAGGATAGGCCTGTGACCAGATGTCCTCCAGCTTGGAAATGGCCTTGTTTCCAGCTCCCCATGAAAAAGATGTAGATTTTAAGCTGAGCACTGATGTTAGAAGAGGAGAATTTAAAAAACAAAGATTTTTTGTTTCTTTAGGGAGGAAAACTGCTACCAGGCCCCAGAGCCTAAAGCCTTTTCATTTCACAGGAGAGGTTTTGGCATCTTGCTCTCTTTCTCTGATGGTGTCTATGGCAGAATTCCTTTCGATACAAAGGATATCAATGCTTCAGAACCCAAAAGCTATAGACCCAAAAGAATAGTCATTAAGAACTCTGGGCATTTCCTGGACTAATGATTTAAACCAAACATTCCAAAGTGGTGGAATGAAGTTTGGAAGCCACAAGAACAAGTTAAGACTATAAATAACAAGACAAATTCCACAGGAAAGCTGGGCTCATTTATATAAACTGACTTTGCAGATCAGTGCCCCACAGGTTAAATGTAACTTGGACACTTCATTTGGCCCATGTGTTGGATTTAAAGTTTAGTTGCTGACATTAAAAATCTGGGAAATTTCAATTAAAAGTTTGAATTTCTGGATTCTCTTGAAAAATCAGATGGCCAGGTAATGCTAGGAGGTAATCATTACCTGAAACTGACTTTGCTTTCCAGTATGCACAGTCCATCTCTCTCCATTGCATTACAACTGGCCTACCTCAGCAATTTAAATCACCTGCCTGGATCCCGCTGGCACTTCAGTTTATCATCTGGTATATATGGTCAAATGGTATCTGCTAGGAAAGTGCTGAGTTGATAGAGTTAGTGAGCTTGAAAGAAGACTAATAAAAGGCTATGAGGTAACCACAATTCTGACCAGAGGGGCCTCCATGGAGAAATGGGGATGAGAGCAAAGTCTCCCCTAGCAGCTAGAGTACAGAAACAGAACAGTCATGAGACAGGGAACTTTGATGGGACAATGGATTTACCTTGGTAGCTCTTAACCAGTTTCCTAGTTGTACACCTTGTACCCCAGGCACTGCCCAAGGAAACCCTTGTCCAATCAGGGGTAGGGGTGACCAGAGGGGACACTTTAGACTCAAAGCATGTTGGCACCTTTTCATTTCATTTTTCCCTATGTTAGCTGGGGGATTCTTTCCTTGGCATAACCTCATATGGTTAGATCATCTGACCTAGCCCGGCTGCTGGCTTTGCTCAGCCTGCTTAGTGGCCTGGAGTCATCTACCATCAGCTCTGGACAAAGCGAAGGTGCCTTCTCAGTGGACAGCCCTTGCTTGGTCACCTTCTCAGCCTGCAGCTCTTCCTTCTCACCCTCCTTCCCTACTCCAGGGGTCTCTACTTTTTCCCCGTCTGGCACTGCCACTACCTCCTGCCCTTCTGTGGTCTTCTCTGCTTCCTGCTTCTTCTCCCCCACTTCCGGTTCTGCTCCCTCCTCTACAGGCTGCTCCTCCCCTTCCTCTTCCTGTGGCCCCACCTGAGCATAAGAAGGTAGTGTTTCTTGGTAACCCCGGGACATGTCTGCTAGGGGTCCAGTGCTGATCTTCTCCTCAAACTGACTGAAAGGCTTGGCAGAAAGTGGGGTCGTCTCCACCATCCCAACCTCAGTCAAAGGGAAATAGTGGGACACGATTTTCTCTTCCTCTAGGAGCTGGTAGCCCTTGGCTTTCTGGATGGAGGAGACAGCGATGGAGTGGAGGGATTTCTCAGGAATCTCCCCCAATGGCTGCTCCACGGGCCTCTTGAAGGCAGACCGGATTCCCTTCAGGCCCAGATGGCTCATCTCCATTATATTGAGGAAGAGGGACACAAAGGCCACAGACAACATGAACAGGATGAAGATGGTTTTCTCAGTGGGCCGGGACACAAAGCAGTCCACCACATTGGGGCAGGGCCACCGGCTGCAGCGATAGAGGGGCAGGATCCGGAAACCGTACAGGAAGTAGTGGCCCACTATGAAGCCCACCTCAAAAAGGGTCTTGAAGATGATGTGGCAGACGTAGGTCCTCAGCAGGGTTCCCTCCAAGCGGAATTTCTTAGTGCCTTTGCTGCTGCTGCTGCTTTTCCTGATGCTGCCCTGGTCTGGGGCAAGTGGCACCCTCTCTCCACCGTTGCCCCGGGACTGTTGGCACAGCTCCTCAGCCTCACGGTCCTTCCTCTTCTCCTCCATGCGGACATGGTGCACCGCGTGTCCCACGTACATCAGAGATGGAGTGGAGACAAAGATGATCTGCAGGACCCAGAGGCGGATGTGCGAGATGGGGAAGGCCTCGTCATAGCAGACGTTCTCGCAGCCTGGCTGCTGGGTGTTGCACACGAAGTCAGACTGCTCATCGCCCCACACGAACTCTGCAGCTGTGCCAAGGATGAGGATCCGAAAGATGAAAAGCACAGTGAGCCACACTCTGCCGATGACCGTGGAGTGCTCGTTCACTTCCTCCAAGATGTTCCCCAAGAAACTCCAGTCACCCATTGCTCACCTAGGAAGGAGAAGGCAAGAGCTGAGTGGCCACAGTGCAATCCAGAGTCCATGTCTTGCTTACTCGTGGGCTACGGGATACCTCTCCTTTCTGAGTTCTGGAACAGTCAACATGTAAACAACATCTATTGAGTGCTTCCACTGTGCCAGAGTACTAGGGGACAAAAGAGGCATAAAACAATCTGCTTCCATTGGCCTCACCCATGCCCTGGGTTTAATAGTAACAGCTATTCTCACTCACTTCACAGTGGTTGGAAAGGACCCACAGGGCAAAATCTGTATAATACCTTGAACTCCACCAAAAATGATTTATTGTGGGCCATAAATAGAACCCCATGGTTCCACAAGTGTAAATCAACACCACACATTGTTTGAAAGTTCATGCTGAAAAGTGCACCATACTTTAGATGCCTGGGTCCCCAATAAAATTCTTGTATGTATGACATTGTGGCCATTTTGATTTTAACTGTTTGGGGGTATACAATAATCATATGCTTGAGAGGAAATGTAAGAAATACTGCCTGCAATCAGAGCTACATGATTCTTTGACTTGTACTCTTAATTTATGTTTTCTTTTCCCAAGGTTGAGATCTGGAAGCCCTTCTTAATAGTTTTACAGATTAAGGGCAGTATATTTTTATTATTACTCTTTTAAATCCAAAGAATGGAGAGAGTGCTTTAGGAAGGTGTCATGTTTTAGGATGAGGACTCCAGTAGAACACTTTTACTGTTCCACAAAATGAAAAGTTTTCAGGGTCTGTAACATGTGGTTACTTTAATAGAGTTAAAAATTTGGTCTGTAGAAAAAATAGCACTAAACATGACACTATATCGTGTCCCTAGCACAGTGTGGCCAATAGAAACAGGGCTGAATTGACCAGAAGAGTGTGCAAACTGGTTATTCATCCAGTGCAAACCTGTAACCTATGAAAACTATGATCAAAACTTCCAGCTCAATGTAAGGCATCTGAACAGTTGTGGAGTTTACTCATGATTGCCCTTAGACAAGGGCAACAGCTCACCTTAGAGGATCCTTCTCTGGGCTTCTTCTAGCCATGTCTTACCCTATAGGATCAGGAGTCCACGGGCCCAAAGGAACATGCAGTGATATTTGTTAGACACTTGAAAGAATGATGAAAAGTGGTATCTTATATTAGATATGATTTTCATCTTTGGGGATGGATACACAGAATAGCTTTTAAAGCCTCCTTCCATCCTGTGATTTGGAGCCTGGCCAGACAGTGTCTGGTGGCAGGATACTAACTGCAGGCATAGGTAGTGTCTAACTTGTGCTAGACACTATGCTATATTGGGGTCTGCACATCAGCTATCTTATTCCTCTGGAGAGCAGAGAATGTTCCTCCTCTTGAAGCCCCAGAAATCCCCAGTTAGATAAGGTATACTGTAGTGATTTCTCACATCCTGGGAAGGTAGGGGCAGCTGTGCCATCTGTAGCTGTGCATTCCATCTCAATCAATAAACTGAGTATGATGGTATACATCATAATCCCAACTATGTAGGAGGCACAGGTAGGAGGATTGAGGTCTGTGGTCTGAGACCACTGAGACCTTACCTGAAAAATAACTAAAGCAAAAAAGGACTGGTTACATGGCTCAACTAGGAGAGCACCTGTCTAGCAAGACCCCAGTGCTGCCACCAAAAAAAAAAAAAGTCTCTTGGAGGGCAAGAACCATTTTGGTTTTATCGCCCATGAACTATCACAACATAGAATACAACACTTCACAGTGTGAGATCTCCATAGCTCCAGAGCCTGGGGCTGACAGTAATGATTTTTAGGATCTGAAATTCTCAGTCCCTGTGTGCATACAGAAGCAGAATCACCCAAGTCCAGGTCACTCCAGTACTCTTCCCACAGCAGCACTAATGAGAGTAAAACTTGCAAAGAAACACTCAATGCCAAAAGGGGCAGTAAATTGAGATCTCCAATCAGTTGTTTTGAGACAAAGAAGGTTTATTTTGTGTAAGATCAAAAATATAAATGGGAGGACCAATGACTCTTGTCATATGAGTGTCATGATACATGTTCATGATGCAAGAACACTTTCCTGATCACATTAATTACAAGTTAATTACCAAATTAAGCCAAATAGAGCTGTGTCCTTGAATAGCCCATTCTGCCATGTAGGATTGTTTTAAGTGTTTTTTTTTTAATTTTAAAAAGTTTCTTGTGATAATTGAAGGAAAGAAACTGTAACTTAGGACGAAGTCTTTCTAAGGGCATGATAGTGAGAGAGGCCAACTATGTTATTGAGGAGGGAAGGTTTAGAGATGCCAAGGACAGGTGCCCTCAATGCTAGAGATTGACTTAAAAGCCTTGCACGTGCCAGACAAGTGCTGTGCCATTAAGTTCCATCCCCAGCCTGGTTCTTGACTTTAAACATCGAAAATATAAAGGAAGTCAAATTAGGGTAGCAAGATATTCCACTGGAGCACAGAGAAATTTGAACCAAAGGAAGAATTCTCTTTTTTCTTCCTTAAACAGAGAATTCTTTTTTATTTTGCTTGTGAATATTTAGATCTATTACAGTTGGAAATAAATTGACAGAGTTCAAGCCTGCCACCCCAGGGCCTCCATATATTCCCAGGAACATCCCACCAGAGAATTAGGGCTAGAGGTGATGATTAAAGTAACACTTTGTGTTGGAGTAGTCTCTTACTCCTTATAAGGCTACGATTTCATATATCTTGTTTCATTCCTCATAATAAACTCTGAACGAGGGCAGTGATGCTCAGTTTAGGATTTCACAGACAACAAAATAAGGTGGGTGAGGTTGCCAACTACTTATCTTGTCAAACAAGGACGTAAAAATAAGAAATGTAGTAAGTCACTAAATAAATGACTATAGTCTATTTCCACTATCATTTCATAAAAGGGGATTTTAATACCCCCAAACTTAAAAAGAATACCATTTCTGCACAAAAGACAGGGCTTTAAATTGAACATATTTAACTCAGTAAAAAGTTTACTTCATCATTCTAACATTTTTATCACAGGCCGCTGAAAACTTTATCTTGAGTTAGAACTAACAGATCCACAGTTGGATGTTTGAGACCCAGGGAATGAGGCATTATCAACCACTATTACCAGCGAAGGACAGGCTGGGAGATTAAATGAGTGTCCCGAGTAGCTGGTCCAGTGAGGGCAGAGTGGGATGTGAATCCTGGCCTTCCCTTCTAAGCCCAAGGGCATTTCCAGTAGAGTGTAACCTTGTCCCAGCTATGAAGAGGCACAAAAGTACATATATACCCATGGTAATGTTTCCCAAGGCAGTAGTGGACCACATACCTCTCAAGTTGCTAGTGGAGGGTAAGCGTGCCTCCATTCTTGTTTCTGGAGCAGCCATTAGCCAGCAAGTCTCATAAAGAGATAACAGAACCTACTCCCAGAAAGAGTTTTATGATCCTTGGTCAGACTCATTACTGTGCTCTGTTAAACGCTTTAAGATTGAAAACACTGACCAGAAGGCCTCCCCTACACCTACAGCACTCAGCAAGTGGGAACCTTTTTCATAAACCAAAACTTGGTTTAGGTCCCTCTGGATTCCTGTTCATTCATTCTGAAAAGTGAAGTGACCTTGAGTCAAGTTTTATTTAGATTTGAACATCTGCCCAGCCCCTATCTTCCCCCATCCCTCTTCCTTCCAAATGTCTACCAACTCTTAGATCAACTCCAAGAGGGTTTTCAGAGTTAGACCCAGAGTCCAGCCATTCCAGTCCAAGAATAAATCTTAGCAGCTTTTTTTCTTTTTGGAAAAGTCTGTATGTGGTCCTTAAGTTAGGCTGGGAAAGAAGTGGCCGCACAACCTAATATTGCCCGAGGGAAACTTGCCAGTATGAGTAGGGTCCCGCGGAGAAATAGGTGCTGTCTTTCTCTCTTGGCGCTTAGCAGCAAAATGGCAACTTTGGCATCTTTCCTTTGCTGCCTTAAAGCCCACCTCCCACTTCTCTACCCCGCCCCTGTGGTGCTGCACGACTGAGCAGATATGACCGGATGGGCCCTGATGGGTAGGTTTTTACTGTCCAGCAATATTTTAAGCTCCCAGCCAGACAGCTTTGATGAAGAGAGGGATGTGTGGGAAACAATAGGATGAAGAGAATGGGAGAGTTGTGTTGGGCACTGAGGGGAGGAGGATGGGGGGAAGCAGATCTGTGAAAGCTTATATGGCTTCAGCGGCCTCCAAAAGTTTCTCTTAGCAGCAGACTGGCCCTGAATAATGGGAGACCTTTGACTTCTCTCCAGAGGGCATAAGTCCAGGGAAATCTTCCCAGGCCTTACCATCAACTTAGAGAATTTTTTAAAAGCCAGGTTTCATTATGTAGTTCAGGCTGGCCTTGAGCTCACAATTCCCCTGCCTCTGCCTCCTGAATGCTGGAATTATGGGTGTGCCCCACCGTACCTGGTTAGTGATGTAGGGACAGTAAGAGGTCATCTGTGTGCCCCCTTTGTTTCAGGTGAGACTGAGAGTGGTTGGTCTCTTTTTTTGAAAGATGGTATTTCAGCCTCTGTAGGTGGTTTGTTGTTGTGTCTGAAAACCTTTAGCAGTGCAGTCTCCCTTTTTAAAATGGAGCCTTCTATTCTAAAGGGTTTTGGTGCATATGTTAAGGTAGCAATATTTCCCACCATATTTGGCTTATAATTACAAATGCTTTAGAGAAGGCAAAGTTGAATCCAGGGAGTTACGCAGCGTCAGCTAACATTTGTCTGTAAATGGGGTGGGGGTGGGGGATGATGTTTTTGCTAATAAAGAGGCTGTTGGATGAAATTCCAAAGTAGCACATGAGGAATGTTGCTTGGAAAGTGGCTTGGAGGGCACAAACATCTGCTCCCTTCTCATTGTCTGGGACTGACTATTGCACTGGTATAAAATGGTTGTTTTGACTACATTTTCCAAATGAAAAATTGAGGCATTTTATCCTATAAGTTTACTTGTAGAGAAAAATATTTTGAACTTGGATTGTTTTAGGAAATCTGC